TTTAGGGTGTAGAGGATTCGGATTAAGGTTTCATGAGTCCGTAGCCGCAGCCACAGTGTTAGCGTTAGCTAAGTTAGCTAATTCAGGCTCCAAAGGAACGATGAGGAATAACGGAGTAAGTAAGGCACAGACAGGCACAAACAAAGCATACATTGAATGACAAGGAATGGAGTCATAAAAAAATCGGTCAGCCACTATGAGTAGTTTCAGGGTGCAACAGCAGGCCAGGCTTTCCTTGCCTGGAAACAAGCTTCTACGCCGAGACGGTATATGGAGCGTGCTGTTCAATTTCTGTTTGATGTCGTCGGTTGCATGCACATGCGACTTACGTCCATCCTGCTATATGGCACAGATCATTTCGTGTCTTTGGCTTCGCATTCCTCTTACTCTTCTTACTGCTTCCAGCAGTCGCGGAGTCATTGGTGTGATTCCGATAATTCAGTAATCGTGGCTGAGCTTTCGATGCATGTCCTTGCGTACCACTAGCTGAGCTAGCTCTCCGTGGCTGACAGCAAACAGCACAGGCTGCCTGCCACGATGACAGAAGAAACCTGGCCTGTGTGAGACGCGGAGCCGAGAAAACACAAATTTCCGTTTAGATTCTAGATAATCATTGGAGTCATTTCGCATGCCAAGAATCATTTGTTCTGTCCCATGTCCGTACGTATTTGGTGTCGCTGTTGATTCATTACGTGTTTGGGGGAGGAGCCACCATCGATGTCTCAGCGACGGCCCTCCGCTACCATCCATGCCCTGCACGCCAAGCTACTCGAGATGCAGCAGCACCCAATGCTGCAGCATCTATCGGATGCCGAGATTTGGGAGTACCGCTCTCAGACAGTGACATAGTGACATAATACTCTNNAAAGCAGCGGACCTACATGCCGTGATATGCCGCATCCGAGGCATGTCAATTCGGCCAAGAGAAGCATGGGTACCGAAGTTTGGGAGCGGCTAGTGTCGCCCCGCCAGGAGATCACTCTGACTTTGATCTTTTGGCAGGTCAGAACCAATGAGGGGGATCCGGACCAAGTGTATGTTGATTTGGCAAAGTCGTATGAGCGGGCAGCCTGGAGAAGTGATGGCTACATCCCGCCGCCCCAGAGAAGCAATGGTTCTTTGATATTTGGGTTCTTGAACTGCAAGGTTTAGCAGCAATGCCTTGTGCATAGCTGCATATTTGTTATTAATTAATTAAGGTTGACGACAAACAGTCGTATCTACAGCTTCCGGCTGCGTCGGTACTTGCATGGGTACGAGCTTTTGGGCCTGTGCCTTTGCTGATACCGATACCGCATCTGTATTGCGCCCCAGCCCCATCCGTTTCATTTTCAGTCGTTTCAGGCAAGGGTTCAATGTGGAAAAGTTGAACTTCGCTGGAATGACCAAGTCTGCCTTGTGGTCTGTGCTGGCAGGCTCCCATAGCAGTAGTCGTGAGTCGTATGCGGCATGGCACAGGATAAGTAGTAATGTTTCGAGTCAATTGTCTTGCAGGAAACTGTATGTCCATGCCGGTCATTGGAAGTGCGATGATGGCAGTCGCTCGGTATGGACCCTGGTTTATACATTTTATATATTCTATTTTATTTTATATCATATTTTTTATCATTTATGATTTTAAATTGTATAATTTGTAATTTTATAATTTTTATATATAATTTATAATTTATATAATGTACACAATTAAAATTTAAGTAAGTAGTCTCTAAATCCATACTTCGTACTCCCCCTACGGCCAAGGTGCTGCTCTACGGGAATTTCGGCAAAAGCCGTGCACACTTCCGCCAGGGCAAGCTTCCTACTCCTACGTCGCAAGCCACGACATTGGACCAGATATGCAATGATGAGCCATCGGAAGGAACCGATTCGGCCGAGAGTGTGGATCCAGATGATTTCGACGGTCAGTGACAACGATGAGCGGCATGAGTTCATCTCCTTTTAAATCCGTGGATTCACCAGACAAGTTTTGACGGACGACCACAAGCGTGCAGAGAAATCCACCCCGCTCTGACTTCGAGTGACTGTTGTGGATTGTTTTCAGGCTATATCAGAGCGAGTTATAGGTTGCTGTCTCGACTACGACATATTTACATCATCATCTCATCTCTGTCTCTATTACTCCATTAGTCTCTAGCTGAATCCCTCAGAACGTTACAGGCCTCACCACAGGACGCTGGACTTTGCCACATCCTTTGTCAGGCTGCGTGGAGAAGCATATCTTCATACGAAGTATTTGGGGTCGAATTATCTCTGTGTGTCGTCCGAACTTGCTATATAAATCATATCATCCGAACTAATCACAGACTCAGTATTCTACTACGACTTCATCCAGGATAAACTCCTCTAGTATTGATCACTTCATCTTGTATTAAAAGCAAGCTAAATTAGTCTAAATGCAACCCATCTCCCGACCACAAGTTTTATCCCTACTTTTTTGACCATATCATCTTGTATTAAAATAACAGTCTAAATAGAACCCATCTCCCGACCATGCATCGTGCCATATGATTGGCCGCACAATTCGCTATAGTCTTAATGATACCACGCCTACTCCAAGTTCTACAAGCAAGATGCTGATGTGGATCATGGGTGCGGAGCGAAAGCAACATATACAAAATTATATACCTGCGTGTACGAATGTATACGCGTACATATTGGAAGTTGTGATAGATAGATAGATGGATAGGATAGGATAGTTTGCTAGCCAGCTAGCTAGCTGGCTAGCTAGATAGACAGACAATCCCAGGATAGATCGGTTTGTTCAGAGAAAGAGAGAGAGAGAGAGTGTGTGTGTGTGTGTCTGTGTGTGTGTGTTGACGCATACGTTTAATACTGCCAGGCTCGTTCTGAAGATTCACTATAAAATTCATTGACTGCTTGCAAGGCCCCTGCGAAACTCTTCCAATGAGGCAGTGGCCCGTCATCAAGCTTCATTTAAACTGATTCCAGAATACAAGAATAAGATTGATAACGGCAATAACCGGCTTCGTAGTAGTAACAATCAGTAATAATAATAATACTAATACTAATAATAATGGTCATATTGATGACATCATTAAAGATGTTTCTGATCTAAGACGCCTTTTATCATGCTTGCCGAGTTTGGCAAGTCGTGAATCGTCGGCAGCAGCTCCTCCGATGCCCTGGAGTCAAAAAAGTGGAACTCCGAAGATCGCGCACAGGCACAGACACTCCTACACTCATCTGAGCAGTAGCATAGCTAGTTGGCATCAGAGCATTGTGACTTCAAACATCGGCCCGAGATCGCAGAAAGCCAGGAGTAGCAATGACGCAAACAGGAGCTTTGAGCTCGTGCTGACCATGGCAGCAGGGGGAAATTCAACATCACATTTTTTTGTGCGGGAGACGAGCCATTCTCAGAGACAGCAGCGAATGCAGCAGTGTGTAGTAAATACTCCGGTCATCGTCACCAGCAGAATCACCGCAAAAGCCTTGAAGAGTATAGTTCAATCCCGGAGCTTTGTACAGTGAGAAAAGCCTACCAACTGATTAGTCAACGCGTTCCACTCCTTGTTTCCAAATCATTGTTTTGCTTTCGTACATGGGTCCCACCATCCCATCAGGCTTCTATTGCACCAGGTTGACAGCTGTTTCGGTTTGGCGGTGCCCCGAAAGCAAGGTGTTCTCGACCGATGTCCTACTCCAGAGTTACCGAACCTCCTGGCATCGTCCAGGGCACGTATTGGCTCAGTTTCATTGCGAGGATCCCAGTGCCCATAAGATGGTCATAGCTAGCTCACATTAATTTTAGATGATGCGCCCGAGCCGGCTGCTTTGGTGCTAGTAGACCAGCCTACCGTAACAGATTGCTTCAGCCACCCACCGTAAACCCTACAAACCCTGTCCGGCCAAGTAATGGCCCAGTTTAGATAATGCTCCAAGTGCTGGAACGCCAGCGCTGTGTGGCAGCGGCAGTCTCAAGGGCGCGCCCCGAGCACAGGGATGCTGCTGGGACGTGAGCACGGGTGGCTCGTGGAGTATGCTCCGTTGCTGATCCTCGTTGGCGTGGTCTTCGTGTACTATGCCTTGATGACTGCACTCATCTTGTGCATGCGGCGGATCAGGCGCACGAAGCGAACTCCATTGGTTATCACTCCGCGGCAGCGGCTGTTGATTTTGCTGAACAGATGGCAGGTGTTGGAGCGTATCGATGTCATGCAAACTGTGCTTTCGCTGGTCTTGTGCAGTCTTTATGTCGTAGAGACGTATGGTATTGACGGAAATTGGTTCTCCATGCTGGAACGCATAGTCAATGCGTTTTTTGGAGTTGATTACATTTTCCAGTTCTACATCAGCAGGAACAAGCTCGAGTTTCTTTACTCGCTCATGGCATTTGTCGATGTTGTGACCCTTGCACCCTTCCTGGTGTTCAACCAAGTTTTCAGCATCGACCACGACACTTCCGTGGTCCTGCGTGTGGTGCGCATCACCAAGCTCTTCCGGATTTTGCGATCCTTCCGCTTTTTGCGAAATCGACCCGAGGATGTCAGCCGCGAGGTCGCCATGCTCGCTTTTGGCCTCTTCTGCTTGATTTTTACTGCGGCCGGCTTCTATCAGCTCGTTGAGAACGACATGAAGGTCTTGCCAGAACAAGCTTCTAGCGTACCCTTCCACGAGGCTTTCTATTTCACGACCATCGAAATCCTGGGGCGACCTCGAATTGAGCCTGAGAGCCCGGGAGGACACCTTCTGCTGATCTTGGTGGTGACCGTGGCCTTCATCATCATCCCCTGGCAGGCGGCATCGATTTTGAAGGCTCTCCAGCGAGATCCGTGGGCCCGAAGAACAAGGTATAAGCGCATGAGCGATGCGCACATTGTGATTATGGGCCACATAGAATTCCCCGTGCTCAACCTCCTCCTGTACGAGGCATATCACCCCGATCGTGGGCCCGCACGGCCTTGCGACATCGTGATCCTGTCGCCCAACGAAGCGGATCACCAGGTTTTGGATTTACTGGGTCACCCTGCATACACCGGGCACGTGCAATATATCCAGGGCTCTTCGCAAGTGGAGAAGGACCTCTTCAGAGCCAAGGTCCACGAAGCAATGGCGGTCCTGGTCTTGGCCTGCAAATATCCCCAGGACCCGCAGTGGGAAGACACGCAGGTTGCATCCATCGTGCTAGCCTGCAAGGCCTTCAAGAACGCGCAGCTGCACCGACAGAAGACGTTCGAAGGCCGGCGAAGACTTCGACTGTTGGCGCAGGTACTGTCTGCAGAGACCCGGGACCGCATCGTGAACATGCCTGGCTGGGACAGGCTCCATGACCTTTGCCTTGTGATCGGGGAGCTGACCGCGGCGATGGTAGCTGGATCGGCACTTCACCGGGGTCTTTCGACGATGGTTCTAAACCTGGTGAGCCACACCACCAGCCACGCCTACGACACAAACACAGAGCAATGGTTCGACCTTTACCACAAAGGCTCCCGCCAGGAGATATACCATTGCAGCATCACGTCCAAGAGTGGCATCCACGGTCTCAATCTCGTGGAAGCTGCTTACCACCTCTACGAGAACCACGGTATCTTGCTCATCGCCGTGAAGCGTCAGTCTCGTGGGGGTGCCGAAACACCAGGCAGCACCTTCTCCAAGCACAGGAAACACCGGCTGCTCCTCTTCCCGAGCGGACAGGACACAATCCTCCAGGACGGCGACCGTGTCTACGTCATTGCAGGCAGCCTTCCTGAGGCGGTGGTCGCCATTAAGAGGGGCCGGAGCCCAGAAAGGCCCATGCTGCGACCCTCTGCCGCTGGCCGCAGCAGCAAGGGCGAGGACTCTCGCGAGACCGGGCAGGCCGCCACCCTTGTCAGGAAGGGCGACGGCGAGCAGCACACCTGGGAGGAAGACAGCAACCCAGACTTCCTTTCACGACTGAAGGCACGTTCCGAGCACTGGACCATGTCAGGCGGGCTCTCGACTCGCCTGCGGAGCTATTGGTGGAAGCTGAGGTGGCCTGGGGAGTTTTATGATGCAAAGGACGAACAGGCCGGAATTGGGAGCTTTGATCTGGACAGCAGCCCAGTGAAGCTCCACAATATGAAGCTCTCCAAGGGCTTCAATTTCAGGGAGCTCGAACGGATCCAGAGCGAGGAGACTTCCGCGGCTGCATCTCGCACGGAGGAAAAGTTTGAGCGGGTGCTGAGTCTTCACAGCCAGAGCTTCGGCCGTGTGGCCTCCTGGCCGTCGGAGCGCTCCTTCAGCCCGCCGGTGCAACATCAAAGGACCAACACCAAGGCCATGGACATCCAGGCGCTGCGCTTGCAGCGGCTGGCATCACTGCTGTTGGACTACGGTGGGGATCTGCGGGAATTGGAGAAGGATCTGGCTTCGCTGGGTGTCCGTCGGGAGTTCCAACCCCAATCTCTTGGAGAGCCGCAGGAGCACATGACCAAGATGCTGAGCTCCTCTTTCAAGGACATGGGGCTTCAATCAGCCGCAGATTACCTCAATGAAATCCGGGGGCACATCGTCATTTTCGGGGGTGACGAGAAATCCATTGCTCTCACTGTGCAAATGCTGCTCGTCCGGGACCCTGTGACAGAGATCGTCGTATTGAGCATGGCATCCCATGAGGAGCGGAGCCCCGAGATCTGGCAACACATTTCGCTGGACACAGTTTACTTTGCCAAGGAGCTCGTGCACAATCAAAGGGATTTGCGCGGCGCCCACCTGGAGCGTGCAAAGGCCGTGGTGATCCTACCCAAGATTGACAAGGATGTCGCTAAGGCACCAGTGCAGGGTTGGGAGCTCCGCCGTATGGTAGACTCGGACACCATTCTGACAACCAACATCATCGCCACGAGGAAGTTTATCCCCGGCGACGAATTACGAGATGTTTGGACGGTGACACAGATGTTCCAGGAGGGCTCCCTGAACCGCTTCTTCGGCATGAACCCTGAGGCGCAGGGTGCCACCTCCCTCTTTGAGGATCGTTGGATGGCATCGGCACCACTGAACATGTCGCCACTGTTCGCAGCCGGGCACATCATCGCAACGACGACTGTCGACCGGTTCTTGATGGAGAGCTTCTTCAACCCGGACGCCATGATCATCGTTGAGCGCCTCTTCGGCCTTGCAGGTCTCACTGTGGGCTCCAAGGTGCATCATGGGCTCGGCAGCCCCAGCTTGGCCAACCAGCCCTGTGTTTTCCAAATGCCTGCAACTGCAAAGATGATTTCCTCCTGCAGAAGCTTTGGGGAAGCGGCGAACATGCTCATCTCGCATAGTCAGCCCATGCTTCCCTTGGGTATCTTCCGCTATCCCAACGGGCATCGGTCTTCGTATTCTATGTTGGTGAGCCTGGAGGCAGCACAGGAACTGGACTTCCGATCCCCATACTATGGAGTTAGCCAGTCCTTCGTAGGGGATGACCAAGGGGACCAGATGTCAAACCGCCTGCCTTTCGTGATCACGAACCCTCCTAAAGACCTGGTCCTGCTGCCCACGGACATGCTCTTCGTGCTCGGGCGCCCGCTCCCAGACGAGGCAGTGCCGTCTGACCAGCTTGGACGCGATGAGGTGATCATGCCCATTGCGTCGGAGGATGAAGGAGAAGAGGCGAGCCCTTGGCATTGTGATTGTTTAGTTTCCACATATGCGTCTACATGCCATATAGAGCTTCCAACTATCGGGGTTCACAGAAGTGGTGCGGGGCGATCGAGTCCAAGTATCGGGACTTGCGACACCCCTAGCTACATGTTCAGAGACATGTCCAGTTAACATATAGATCTGCACATGCCACATGCTGCATGACGTGATGTGATGACACGCCCTGTGGTTGTTGCTGCTCGTACTTCTGAAGCAGTATGTTTGGTTGAAGAGCCGCATTGCCTGATTTCGGAACCTTCATAATGCTGCACATTGTGGCACATCTCGATGTAAGCTGGATTGTCTCCTGGTCCCTAAACCCTGAACCCCTAAACCGTAATGGTGGGAAGACTGAGAGCCTAAAGTCACGAAACCCGGGCGGTCTCTTCTGTTTGATGAATCTTAGGGCCAAAAGTCGTCCAGTCTATTTGGCAAGCATGCCGGAGAAAGCACTTACCCAGGTTACTAGGAATACTGGAAATGTGCTCTGCCACACAACGGCCTTACCAATGCAAGCATGGCCCGAACAGAAACTACACTGCCATAGCGCCCATTCCCCGGCCTACATGATTGTAAAGTGCTCAGGTCGTGTCCAGCCTTTGAGCTGTGCTGCAACTTCGCATCTTGTCAACAAGCTCATGACAAGCTCCTTCGATTTCCAGTTGGGAATCCGCCCCCAACTACTCCCCCCCCCACCCCAGCACCCAGCGGTTGCGAAGAGCGCGGCCGGTAGCCTTCCGTGAGCATCTGGGTTTGAAGTACTGCACGAACCCGACCATCCTGTCACCTAGACTCCGCAGCAACAGGTGCTGACGGAAGTTCTCTTGCAGCGAAGCCAGTGCAGCTAGTATGGGGCATCGTTTGTGACATTCTCATGGTAAGCTGCAGCCACAAATTCCGTAAGCCCACAACTTTGCATCCCCACCGCTCGGGATCCTCGTTTTGGCCAGCCGGAAAGGCGTGGCACAAATGCCCGAGCTGCACTGCAAGCCATCGGCTTCGGATCAGAGGCTTTTGCTGGCTCTAGTGCTCGACGCCAGGATTGGGTTTTCGACCTTCGACTCCGGGCAGGGTGCACCATGCATTAGATATGTCTTACAGCAGAGGATCAACTGCAAAGGCCAGTCGAAGAGCCACGAGGAGTCCGGGCCCAACTGGCCAATACGTTCCTGAACAGCCTGCTAAAAGACAGGAAACCGGCCAGGGGAACAGTCCATACGAGGCTGTGTCACGAAGTGAGCCCCTGCAGTATACTGACAATAGTGATTAGTGTATGCTGCATAGTGCGGGAGCAACAGCCGGCAGATCTTCTGAAATATTGGAATGCAGCTAAACCTCACTCTCCGAAATCCTGACGTGAAGGACTAAACAGAGCACTTCTCACCTGCTGTTCGGCTTCGACTCCCTGAAAAGCCAAGCCAGGGAGTGTCAACGTGCTCGCGGCTTCGGCTTTGCTTAAGGAGGGAGGAAATCAGGAAGAAAATCAAGAGCTCGACCTGCATCGTGCATTGTTACATTGAGCCATTATGCAAATCCTCGACCTAAAGCTTCCCTTATCCGACCCCCAAGCCCGTACAACAACGTCCTTCGGCTGCCCCGATGCTGTGGCACTGCAGACGTCTGCAGCTCCAAGCCTTTGCAAACTTCAAAAACAATTGCGGAACCCGACTAGGGCCATGCTGAAGACCATCAACCCTGAAAGACCCTGAAGCCCTTGCCTCAAAGCTTCAGAGCCCGGAGCCAGGCATGGCCTTCGCCGAGGCTGCCTCGGGCCGGCCTTCGAAGGTGGGAGACTTAGAAGTCATCGGGGCTTCTTAAAAAAAAATGTAGGTCAATCAATGTAGGTATTTGTTAATGAGAGTGTTTGGGAGGGTTTTATCCCTTGTCCTGTTTCCTGGGCTCTCTCTACCGTCCATCCCGTGCTCGTTTTGGAACTATTCGACCCTGCAGGGCTCCTTGTGGACGTCTTGAAATTTCGCCGTTCTGAGAGGCTTTCGTTCTTTCAGCACTGTAGCCTGGGGGCACTATTCAGGCGAGAAGCACGCCAAGATGCTTTCGGAAGCGTCCGTCAACTTGTTTCATGATTCCCCAAATAGTGTGGTACACACACTATGAGGTTCTAAGGTTCGGAGTACCGAGAACTGGTTTCTACCGCCGCGCGCGGCACACAGCGGAAACATGTTGTTTGGTATGCGGATCCTGCGTGGCACAGCTCCAGGAAACCCATTCATACAATAAATTCTTCGCGCTGTGCCTCCTGATTGTTTGGCCTGCTGTTAAGTGCCCATGCATAGCGAGACCCTTGAGAATGGCACGGCACAGAAAGAGTGAGACATATGGGCCTTCGTTTTGGCCTCGAGATCTCTGTCACCGAGTCTCACGAGGGAAGCATGTTTGGCAGTGGTATCGCCAGTACTTGAGAGAAGCATTTTCGCGGCGCTCCTGAATTCGGTCCTCACTTGGGGGAAGATTGCTGTCGTGCTCCTGAATCCCGCCAGTACTGAACGGAAGCACTTCGGCCGTTTGTCCTGGTTGTCGCTCATGCTCCGGTGTTTTTTTGTGGTGGTCCTGGTCGTCGTGGTGCTCTCTCACCATTTCGGGGTCTATGCTGGCATCATCTGTAAACTGTAAAATCTATAAATTCGATCATCGTACCGTTTGAGGGTGAGCTTGTACTGGCACACATGTCATAGTCCTCATGATGATGGCAGGGCAATCCACACCATGCAGCATTGAAGGAAACAGCTCACGTGGCGGGTTCCCTTCACAACACAAGCTGAGGCCACAACTAGTGTACATGCCAAGAGTTCAGAACCTTGCCTCTCTCGAATTCTAGTGTTTACATACATGCCCAGAAGCATTCTTGTAGGAAAGCCAAGGCTGGCTCACGAATCCATGGCCTACTCGCAGCAACACTTGGGTAATCAGATTCACAGGGGAACACTGGCGTACGGTTTGTCTCCTTGCGCTTCCTGTGACATCTAAGTATGCTTGCCCTGCTTGCCCTAGTGCATTCAGGTCCAATTGTCATTCCTTTTTGATTTTTTTCTTCCTCGTACTGATGGTGTCATCAAAATCATCTTGGCCGCTGTTTATGATTTTGCGTACTAGTGGTTGCTGATGACATGAGTGTTGTGCCACTATGTCTAGAACTCGGCCACAAGAATGCGATCGTGATACTGGGCACAGCTGCAAACTTAAGCAAGAACGGCTTCGGGATGCCAGCCGCACGACTTCATGCCATGATGTGACGGGATGAGTCGATACAGTGGTCCGTGACGGGGGCATCTTCGTCCGGGTGCTTTAGCGGGTATGCTTTATCTTCAAGGAAGGCTGCATCCTTTGAAGTCTTCTCTCGTGCCGTCCAGGCCTCAGATCCATTTTCAGCAGGGCACAAACACATCCTTCTGCTCCGAGGCACTGGAGATCTTGCGAGGTGTCGCCACGTTGGCGGTGTTCTTCCCCGCAGGTTTGCCGGGTCAAGGCAGGGGTGCCCATTCGTAAATTCCTAGGACGACTATCGAGATTACTGTTGCATTTGGTTGTACTGTAGCAGCAGCAGACATGAGCCCCTCGTAGTTGTTGTCGTCGCTGTCGTGCTAGAAGTATTCTTTTTTGTGTTTTTCAAGTCTAGAAGTTGTCGTCGTCGGTTTTGTGTTTGTTCTTGCTGTTCTTCTGGGTATTTGTCTTGGCATGCCTGAGTCGAGCTACTGCTTCTGCTGCCGCTATGCTTGCTGCTGCTGCTGGTCGCCGCAACTGTTCGCCTTTGACACTTGTTGCAGAGCGATTTCAACACTTCCGGGGCTGCTGTTGAAGCTTCCCGTTCAGTTGATCAGGTTTTGAGATGCAACAGCGCCACATGTCGCCCATGTCCCTTTGTTGGTGTCTTGAAGAAACTCCGAAGCGTTCATACAGAAGAACGACAATCCCCAAGTCGTTCTGGGCTTGGTTTTCTTGCTTTGTGCCGGGCCAGGAGACCAGGCCATCTTCGCATCCGTGTGGAAGTCGTGGCTGGGCGTTGTTTTCTAAGCGCCTAACCGTCTCGTTGCTTTCTTCCGTGTTTTGGAACTCGAAGAAACAGCGAGGCTGAAGAGTGCAGGTTGCATTGAAGGTACCAAAAAGCATGTGACGCAGCTTGCGAAGTGTTCCAGCGGCCGCCGCAATTGGAGACGGGGCACTGGCTTGGAACCGTGGTAAGTTCTCACCATTAGCAGTCACTATGTTTCCGTTTGTTTGAGCTAGCTCAGTTCGCTTTGCTTTACCGAGTGATGACCGCTGTGCTTTTCGGTTGTGACCTCCAGCACCTGGAAGCTCTCGGAGAGGCACAGCAGAGCCCAAAACACCTCAAAAAGCTTAGGAAGTGCAGATTGGGCGCGCGCGGTGCCCTTCGTGCTTTGCAGGCTCTGCAGCAACTACGACTACGAAATCTGCAAGACATCGCTCTCTTGCGAAATGCCCACAGGTCTCACTAGTAATATTCCTGACCTTGGCCTCGTCGAAAAAGCAGAAGTTCTTGCGGCCTTTTCGGCCCCAGTTAAACAACAGAACCATATTCCCAAATCCCGAATGCGCAAGGAAGTTCGGACAAGGACGGTGAACCCCTAACCCTACATGACTCTCTGCTGATTCAAAAGCAGAATCCCTGCACGATTAACTTCCAAACTTTAAGCTTAGTCTACTGACGGTCCGGGAGGTTGTTTACGATACGGCACGAGCCTGACCCTGGAAGCATTGTTACTGCTTTGCAAACACCCTCCAAACACCGGCGAAGGTATGTGTGGGTATGGCAGAATATCCATTACCTCCAGTTGCCCAACATCAAGCTGGCAATGCTGAACCCTGGAGCCGAAACCCACCCAACCCAAAAAGTCAGGTGATGTTCGTGTGGATGGAGGTAACGATACAACCCCCCTCCCAACAACACAAACACGGAAATAATTACATACCGGAGAGTAATGAGTAATACTTAAGTACAAGTGTGGATATAAACATATACTGGTATACCATACATAGTTATAGACCAACCCACCCACCCACCGACCTACCGACTTACCCGACCTACCGACCTACCCGCCTACCTACCTACCTGCCTGCCTGCCTGCCTGCCTACCTACCTACCTACCTACCTACCTACCTAGTTACCGGCATATCTCCATACATGCATGCATGCACATGCAGACATGCATACCTACCCACGTACCTACATCTTTACAATCTTCAAAAACAAAAACAATCAAACAAACAAATGCATAAGCGAACAGAGACAGACTCACACAACAGGAAAACTGCTGTGGCGTGACCAGATACATATTATGTCTATCTAGTACATGCCTTTTGCAGGAGAGAGGTATGCACACGCATGCGCACACACACACACATATACATACATAGAGAGAGAGAGAGAGAGAGAGAGAGAGAGAGGGAGAGAGTGCGCTGTGTATGTATGCAGCATGCATGTGTCTATCAGGGCCTCGGGCTCTTCACGGGGAAGCTCCCGGAAGCGTTGGAGCCTTTGGCCGAGTTCTTGGACTCTAAAGAGGCCGCGGAACAGGGCTCAAAAGTGGCTTGAAAAGAGCTCAGTGGGATTTCAGGGGAGGGACCGT